CATGTAAAGCGGTTGAATTACTGGTAGAAGAATATGACTAACAGAAGCTCTTGCCCCTACCAGACTCAGCCTAAAAGTGGTTTCATGTGGACCGAAAGCCTAAATGTAAAAGAGATGACTATAAAACTAAAAGAAGAAATATGGGAGAAGTTTGTAAACTAGAGATAGGTGACACTTTTTGACTCTTTAGGAAATACATACTTTGAAAGTACAACTCACATGGCATAATATAATAAATTAAAAGTAGTGATCAGTACGATTTCATCAGTACTAAAAACTTCTGCTTGGACTGGGGATTTACCTCAGTGTTGCAGCTGCCTGCCTTGCAAACACAAGGCTCTCAGTTCAATCGCCAATACAAAAAACAAAAACAAAAACAAAAAAAACCAATTTCTGCTCAATGGACAAAATAAAAACACATGACAGTTTGGAAGATGATTTTGCAAAATTTATAACCAAGAGATTAATATCTAGTATATGGTAGGAAGTAATGCAAATTTACAAGATAAAAATAGGCAACTCAAAAAGGGAAGAAGAGATAAGAACTAGCATTTTACAAAAGAAACCCCAAAACTCTTAAGCATATGAAATGCTTTCTAAACGCATTTAAATCAGAAAATTACAAGTTCATTAGTAATCAGAAAATTGCTAGTGAAGCAGGAGTAGGGTTCACATTACATCTTTTTGATTGATAAGAAGTTAGAAACTATAAACCAAGTGTGGCGCATGACTGTAGTCCTAGTATTCTGGGAGACTGAAGCAAGAAGATCATACGGTAGAGCCTGGCCTGAGCAACTTATTGACTTAGTGAGGCTCTGCCATAAAATAAAAAACAAAAATAGAGCTGGAAATGTAGCTTAGGGCAAAGGCCCTGCGTCCAATCCCAGTAATTACCCCCCAACAAAGAGGTTGGAAATGGTCAGATGATGCCGATGTTTTCAGCGATATGAGGTTGTTGTGTCTGTGGAGGGAGGGTGTCTGGAGCAGCCATTCTGCAGAGAAGTACGACAGTGATTAATCGGATGAGTTTCATAAACATGCTGGGGTCCATAAGTCCCACTCTGTTTCTATCCCAAAGAAATTCTGTTGTGGCAGAAACTGAAGGCCAACAGCCTAAGAACTGCATAGGTGCAGTGTGGTATTCCCATTGCTGTTAAACATTCAGAACGACTCTCTCTTGCATTTTATAGTCTGTTTTATCATATGTTCTCATGGCTTGGTTGCTGTCCTTTGTGTCTTAATCAATTGGAAAATGTAGCATACCCCTTGTCACTGCGCATTTTGTGAAAGAACCCACCCATTTATGCTTTTTGCCTTATATTATGCAGTTATCTAATTAAGATTTATTTCTTGGCTTTCCTCATGCCAACAACCAATTACTTTATTTTTGTAATTTTCTGATAGGTTTTATTTTAGTTCTCATTTCTTATTTTAGTTATTCTTCCTTAGTGAAGGTTTTAGGGCATGCCATTTGTTTATCTGAGTATGAAATCACAACTCAGATGATCTGTATTTCATCAGTTTGCGAGGTCAAAATAAGGATACCACTTTCATCCTACTTTGTAGAAACAGGGAGCGTGGAGAAGCTTACTCTTCTTTGTTGACTAAACCAGCTTATCTTTGTGCAAAGAGCATAATGACCCCCATGGTATTTGCTTCCCAACAATAGTTAAGAGTTACTCTTAGAGAAGAAAGTGGGAAGAAGAGCATTCCCTACACGTAGGTCTCAGAGCAAGTGTTTTCTGAGGTTGCCGGGAGACTCCTGTGTTTCCCAACTGGTCCCTGCTGGTTTATATCTTTGTCCTACATGGAGCGTTCTCTTTAACTCTGTTCATTCCTCTAAGTGCAAAATAATCACCGACATAACACTATTATCTATTAAAAGTTTGCTCTGTAGCAGCATTTTGCTGAACACTTTTGGGCTCATTATGTCACTGAATTCCCGTAACAGTCAATTTATCCACTGACACCCAGAGCACAGCCAGGTCAACGTGATCTTCAAAATTAAACATGTCTGCCTCACTGAGCTCACTTCCCATGTTCACACTGGGGCTCCTGGTGGCCAAGTCCAGAGGGCAGGGAGGGGTGTCTATGGATGTGGTCTGGGGGGCCACCCCCACCTCACCCCCTACGCAGACAGGACAGAGGAGTGGTGGAAGGCAGGGGCTAAAGGACGACATTTGCTGGAATCATGTTTCTAGTTTCATGTTTCATTTTTAGCTTATGTTGAGATAAACCTGTATTCAAATTTCCTGGCCTGGGTGGGAGCAGCGCCAAGGTTGAGAACGAGGGCTATGCATCCCCAAGACAGTTGTGAGAGGCAAGAGATCAATCAGGCTGTGGATCACTTATCTCAGCAAATACTTCAAGAGCTAGCAAATATTCTTGGCACAAGATTAATCTCACAGTAAACAAAATGCAATCCAGTTCTCATGAAGCTTACTGCCATGTAGGAGGGAGAGACCTCAAACAGCCAGGAAAAAAATGGGGACTAGAAGTCTAGGAGGGATGGGACTGCTGTTGGCTAGAGAGCATTGTTTGGCATGGAGGGATCAGAAAGTCCTTTCTGGGTGCTTAGTGGGAACAAGGATGCAGTTGGATAGGAGTAATATCTGACAGTGTCCTATACACAGTAGGATACTGATGCTTTACCATAACTGATACTATATTTCAAGCTAGGTAGTAGAGATTTTGAATGTTCACAGCTCAAAGAAATAATAAGGGTTTGAGGTGATGGATATACTAAGCACCCCAATCTGATCATTATGCTGTGTGTGTGCATGTGTGTGATTTATATGTGCATATAATATATACAATACACACACCTATATATCCTGTGCACTATGTACATATACAATTATTATGTGTAGATTAAAATTAGATATAGGTAAAATAGCCCCACTCCAAAAAAAAGAAAGTGAACATGAAAGCAAGCCCCCTCTAATTAGGTGACATCTGATTCCCTAGTGAAGTCAGGGACTGAGCATTCTGATAACCAGAGAGATCTCTCCACGCAGATCATCTAAGACAGTCATTGGTTTGTCAGGGAAGAAAGGGAGAATTTTGGTATAGAACCAAGATGGTGAAGCAAAGAAGAGGGAAAGAGAATGAACAGGCTTTAGAAAAAGGAAATCTTTAAATTGTCAATCCTTTGCCTGTTTTGGTCCCCTCTAGTGATTTAGAAAACTGAAGCTTGACAGACGAGTGTTTGTTTTCATTTTATAGTAGTTTTTACTTTAGTTTCTTCCACCGACAATTGTCTCATAGTAAATATAGTTTGTATTCATTTGAAAAGTGTACTTAAAGCAGTTTTGTATACTTTGAGGGTACTGGGTACAAGGTAGGGACAAAGATCAACCACTGCCCAGGTCTTGTTTGGCAATAATGCAATTGCTGCACTTGTTAGGAACATCTATCCTTCAAAGTAGCAAAGGTTGATGGTAACACTGGAGACTGGAAAAATCAAATAACTTGTCCCAGATCACCCACAAATCAGAGAGAAAGTGAGGCTTCAAACAAGGCCATATGAGTCCCATGGCCCATCCGTGCTGTACTGCTGGCTTCCCTCACATATAATTTTAATGTTTCAGCTAGAATAGGGTCTTGCTTCCTCCCATGAGCCTCTCCATGGTGCTCACAGTGGGCTAAAACTAAGTTCTAACTTTATTCTTCTCCCTCTCTCTCTCTCTCTCTCTCTCTCTCTCTGTCTCTCTCTCTCTGGTACTGGGGGTCAAACACAGGTCCCTGTGGGGTTGCAGTGCAGGCGCAGTGCCACTGAGCTAAATCCCCAGCCCTATTCCTCTCTTGTTGAAGCAACAAGGAGTTTTCTTTTGGCTGTGTCTAGCAGGAAACCCAGTGAGAGTAACCTGATCGTATAGGGTGGTTTCCTTACCTCACGGGAGGTTGGAAAGCAGGCTGTCCAGGGCAGCATGGTAGTTCTACGGTTTTTCATGGCACTAGGTCCCTTCCATCCTTCTGCCTTTATATCCTGGGTCTGTAGCCTTGCTCCTCAGGGTCTCAAAATGGATCCTATTTTTGCAGTTATAGCAACCAAGTTCCACACAAGGTGGGGAGGGAGTTGAAGGGCAAATGGAACAGAAATCATACTGCTGGGCTGCTGTTCACAGAAGACTGGAAGAACTGTGCTTATGTATATGTGTGCTGTTTCTATGGCTACTCATAATGCAAAGGTGACTGGGAAATCTTGAGAGACTTGTCATAGAGGATATATCACTATTCTGAATAAAATCAGAATGCTATAGTAAGAAAGACAACAATGGATTTCATTCAGGCTACTAACAGATCCTGCCACAGTTGCTTCACTGAGCCCTCCGTGTTATGAGATAAAATCAAAATGGCTTAGCATGGTATCTGGGGTTCATTATGACCTACACTGACCAACCTGTATGTCTTGTCCGACCTAATGCCATTTTCCTAGGTCATCAGTGACCAAACTCTCTGAATACTGAACTCCGCAGTGCCTTGGTGCCTTTACACATTCTATTCCCCCATCTCTTTCCTCTCACACCATTGGATTCCTTTTGTCTCCTCAAATGCCTCACCTCTAAGTCTAGCTGAAGGATTACTTCTATTCTAAATCTTCTGGGCTCTTGTAAGCAGATTAGGTGTTTCTTCTTGAACACCCTCATAGAACCTTGAACACCTTCATAGCACCTTGAAGTATCTCTGTTGTTCATTAATTGTGTGTGTGTGTGTGTGCATGTGAGTGTGTGTCCCAGTATATGGTTTTGTTGTGTCTCCTAATGTGGCTAAGGTCTCTTAACTTCCTTACCTGTAATATGAATTAAGAAATGACCTGGGATCTGTCTTCAGCTGTTGTCTGTGAAAATACTGTTTGACTCCAGTGAGTGCTTCCCTTGATTTTGATTTTCCCTCTGTTTGTGGCACTCTGTGTACTTGGGCCACATGTTTCTATTTCAGGGATACTTTTTAAAAGTCATTTTTCTTACTAACCTAGATGTACTTTCCTTTGCTTCTAGTTGTTGAAATGGATGAAAACAATGGACTTTTACTTCTAGAATTGAATCCTCCAAACCCCTGGGATTCAGACCCCAGGACTCCGGAAGATTTGGCTTTTGGGGAAGTACAGGTAAGAAAACATTACAATTATGATGTTATTATAATGTTTTTATCAAAATTATAATGTTCTTTAAGAACTAAGGATATATATATTCTCCAGAAAGGCTTTAGTGGCAGTCCCCAAGAATAGTCATGCCAAGCTCCTGAAGAAAGTTCAGAAATTAACCTTGATGCAGATTACTGTCAGATAGAGTAGTGCATCAGTCCATTTTTTGTTTCTGTAACAAAATACTGGAGGCTGGATGCTTTATAGTAAAAAGAAGTTGATTTAGCTTACAGCTCTGGAAGTTCAAGGGCATGATGCTGGCATCTGTTAAGCTCTGGCAAGGCCTTCATGGTGGGCAGTATCACAATGACAGGAGCATATGCAAGAGTGGCAGAAGAGGGGTTTGGAGGAAGCGTCAGGCTATCTTAACCTATTCTTGAGGGAACTGGACTGAGCCTGCAAGAACTACATTAACCCCTCCCAAGGTGATGCCCTGGTGGCCCAATTACCTTTTTCTAGGCCCCACCTTTAAAGGTCCCACCACCATAGCGTCCCCAAGGCTGAAATAAGGAACTTAATCCTCCCCTTCAAAGTAAGTATCCAGGTTCGCTGACTCCCATCATAGAAAACTAACTTTAAGAGCACATCAGTAAGAGACGTGAGAAAGATTTATTAAGAAGCAGATATAGGACACACTCAAGAGTGGAGTGTGGGTGCTCAAAGAAATGAGGCACATTACAAGTCAGAGTAGGACACATTTAAATGCTGTTTTCAATTCAAGTGATTTCAGGTGTGTATTCTCACTGTCTGCCAGGTTACAGAGCAAGCCATCTGTATGGGTTTGAAGTAGAGATGTGTGTTTGAAGTTAAGACATGCTGTCTCTTCTCCAGCTGCTTTCTGGGCTGAGGAAAGGGCAATTTGCAGGTGAAAGGGGTCAAGAGAGAGCCTGGGAATTTACAGATTATTGTAAAGAGCCTTTGGGAATTTAATACTAGTCTCCGTAAGGATGGAGGGCGGGAGTCACACGCTAGGATGGCCAGGATGGCCTCCAGAAGCAGCAAAAGAGCTTATCTTGAAGCTGCAGTTTTTCTTAAAAGTATAATTTGAAATTCTTGATTTCCTGGTCTCCTGTCTACCTAGTTTTATTTCTTATCCTACCTCACCACCACCTCACTGCCACCACCCTGAGCACCAAGCTCCCACCCAACACAAACATTTGGGGGACAAACCACAGCAGATGAGTAATTATCTATTCCTGTGCTGTGTCCTGAGATCTTCTATGAGTCTTCTTATGCATTTTTCCAACGATAGAAGAGATTTTCTTTCAGACCATATTCTTTAGTAGTTTGGGAGAAGTGACCAAAAATACAGTTTTTCTGTGTAATTGGAATCTTGTGACTTTGGGGGCAGTTGTATTTTGAGGAAATAAATGGGAACCTAGGCTGAGGTGCAGGAATGGGTTTGGAACACCCTGTTTGTGCATATCTGTAAATCATTGTACCTGTCTCAGGTGACCTTGGCACCTGAAGGGGTAAATTAGCAGATAAATTAGAGGAACAAGCCAGGCATGCCTGTTAGCTGGTTGTCAGGCTACTCTGCATGGCTGTCCCACCGATCCAGCTCATTGTGAATCATCCATTTCCATTCCCCTTTGAAGTCTCTCTGGCATCTAAATCCCCATGTTATCATAACATCTCACTATGCTTTGAAGGACTGGTTCCAAAAGGTACTCTGCAGGACAGACCATAAATAAGTGCTTAGAAGTAAATTTAAATAGGTAATCAAGTAAGTAGGTAAGTAGATAATTTAAAGTAGATAAATAAATTGGTTTGATACCTAAATCCATCATGAGAATTTCTGTTCTGGTAAAGTCATAATTGCTGCTGGGAATTGTGTCTTCTTCAAAGCTCCTATTGTAGTATAATTGACTCCAAGATTCTGCTGCTGGCCACCTTGCTTAGCAGCAAAGTTCTCCAACCTGACTTGTCAATGAAACAGGCCAAACTTTTCAGTTCACTGTTGCTGACCAGCAATGACTGAGTAATAGGAATCTCACTTTCTTCTAACAGGTAACATATCTCACTCATGCCTGCATGGACCTCAAGTTGGGAGGCAAGAGAATGGTGTTTGATCCTTGGTTAATTGGTCCTGCATTTGCCAGAGGATGGTGGTTGCTCCATGAGCCTCCATCTGATTGGCTAGAGAAGCTGTGCAAAGCTGACCTAATTTACATTAGCCACATGCATTCGGACCACCTAAGGTAATGAGACCTGATCCCCAACTCAAGGTGATGCTGCATAAAAGTGTTGTCAGACTCTTCTGCAAGCACCACCTCTTTTGAACTAGATTTAGTTGGAATGATGGGAAGACTGATAAATTTGCAAACTGAAATAACATTGAAAATGAGGAAGGAACTCTTGTAGGAAAGAAGTTCGAGTTAATAACCCTCTCACTTCCCACTCTTAGCCATTTGGTACAATTCTAGGAAAAAGAGTTATCAGAGTTGACCTTTTACTTTTCAGTTTAATATTTATAGCAGAGTCAGTGCTCATTAAGTACAAAGAGCCCGTGGAAATATGTTAGACTTTGCAAGTTACATAATTGGTGTTACAATTAATTCATTCTGCCACGATAGCACAAAAACAGCTTTAGGCAGTCCCGAATAAGAACGACACTGACTGTTTCAACAGAACTCTGTTTAGGACTAATGACATGTCATTTTTATGTGTCATGCAATGTTACTTTCCTTTTGATTTTCTTTTCAATTGTTTAAAAAGATGAGAAACAGCCTCAGTATGTAAGATTGCACAAAGGAAGTAGAAAGTGAGATCTGGCTGACACACTGGATTGCCAAACCCTGACTGATAGCACCCTAACGCTGTGCTCCCAGCTTACCAACTCGTGACTGAACTACGTGGAATCCTTCACTGAAACCATAGCATCATAGTCCATGTGCATAGTACATAGAACATAGTACACGTCCTGCAGCTGGAATTTCCCAGGCCACACAGTTGAAAGGAAGAAGAGAAGAGACCTTTCACTTAGGAAACTACCCTGAACCTAGAAGAGAGATCATATTCCCAACTCCTTTCCTAAATTTCAGGGACATGCTTCTTTGTCATTTTTTGGAAGCTTTTATCACTTTTTCTGTGTTGCCTGTTTAAACACATAGCATTGTCTACAATGTTCTAATGAGGCAATTTCACCTTCTCTCTTTTTTTTTCTGTGACCTTCTACCACAAAGTTCACATGTAGAACACACTGAGAAATATCCTTGGTTAAGGATATGTTGGTCATTGGTTTACTGGCCTCTTGATTTTTTATTCTGTGGGAACAAGAAGGCATGAATATCCTCTATTTTATTATTTCTTAAAAATTTAACTAACTGATTTAGAAACAAATTACCTGCAATGCACTTGACTGATCACAGCACATTAAGGTATTGTGATTCTACAACTAAGACTCTACTTGACTATTGCATGAAGCCTTTGTCCCACATAAGCTCCTGGAATTAAACTTGTATATTTTAGGCTTATCAGAGCCCTCTGCTCCCGTGTTGTACAACTGGATTATGTGGGTTTTGTGTAATTCTTTTGTGGCATAAAGTTTAATGGTCTCATAATCATAATGGGCAATTGCTTTTTTGTTTTTATTTTTTTGTTTTTTGGTACCAGGGACCAAATGTTGGACTTTGCATTTGTGAGTCAGGTGCAGCGCCACTGAGTTAAATACCTAGCCTGGCAATTGCTTTTTTTTATAGTGTCTATTTCAAACTACAATTGCCTAAAGTCCTAATGAGAGACATTCCATGATAATATACTAAATTATAGGACAAGTAATAACTTTTAATGTTATTTATTCAAGTCATTCTTTAACCACTGGCCTAAATGGCGATTTAGGTTGAGGTTCACATGTTTGTATAGGACATAGTTGTTATGCAGTAAAACATCACAAGACGTTGTTCAGTATGTGGCCAACAGTTTATCACTGAAAAGTTACAGAAGGAGTCATTTTTATACATTTTTTGTTTTTTGTTTGTTTTTTTTTTTGTTTTTTTTTTTTGTGAGGGGCTTCCT